CAGGGCGCCTGGGTGGCTCAGTCAGTTAAGCGTCTGACTCTTGACGTACTCTTGGTGTTGGCTCAGGTCATGATCTCGCGGTTTGTGGGTTCGAGCCCCGTGTCGGGATCTGCGCTGACAGCTCAGAGCCTGGAGCCTGCTTCAGATTCTGTGTCTCCCCCTCTCTCTACCCTTCCCCTACTCACACTCTGTGTCTCTGTGTCTCTCAATAATAAATAAATATTAAAAAAAAAATTAAAAAAAAGATTCTCTCTCTCCCTCTCTCTCTGCTCCTCCCCAGCTCACTCTCTCAAACATAAATAAATAAATAAATAAATAAATTAATTAATTAATTAATTAAAAGGGTGATTTACTCAGGCAACAGAAAAGTTTACACGAACTACAGGTGCCATCGTTTGGGCTCCCGCTTCTGTATTTAGAAAAGAACTCTCTTTGGGTCGGAACCCGGGCCGTGGCGTGAGCTGACCCTTGCCCGGGCCTCTGGTGTGGCTCACGTCCCAGGGAGAGAAGAGTGTGCCCAGCGCGCCCTCCCCCGGGGGCTCAGGAAGGGGCTGACGCACCCCGTCCGCGGCCAGCAGGCGCCGCACTCTGCGAAAGCACCGATGGCGGAACCGGCCAGGTGTCTAGGACCTTCGGGCACAAAGTGCGTGGGCCCTGGGTCACATCTCGGGGACTGACACTTACTGTACCAATGCAGGCCTTCCAGACCCTTCCAGTTCTGAGCCTGAGCCAGCAAGTCTTCTGGCATCGTTGGAAGAAAAGCGCTCTGAAAAGCCAAGAGAGCAGAGAAGCTTCAGGAACGTGGGCGCGCGGCCGGCTGCCACCGCCTGAGGCTGGGAAGCGGACTCTGCAGCCTGCTTCAACGCTCTCCACCGGGGAAAACAGGACAGGGCTCCCTGTGCGATGACACAGGGCAAGGTCTTCGCCATTGCTGGGGGCTCAGGCGTCAAGTGAGACAGAGGCAGAGAGGAGACCGCAGGACGACCATGGGTTCTACGGGTGCCCAGGGACAGCCTCGGTCTCTGTGGTGACAACCAGTCCCCGGGCTTACCGCCATAGTGGCCGGGGAGAAGGCCAGATTCCTCAGGGGTTCCAAGACTTCGCTGTGTCCACACAGGAGGAGGATGGCCACGTGGACGGCCAATTCTGCCACCGTGCCTTCGAGGCTGCTGTCCCGGACACCCGTGCTCAGCAAGGGCAGAGTGTCGGCCACGAGGGAGGTTGCGAAAAGTTTGACATCCCGATGAGAAAGGACCTCGCTCTCCTCGATGAAGCTGTTGAGAGCCTCACGTTGCTGGCGAGAAAACATGTTGAAAAATATATCAAAGACGATGACGTGAAGGCTAACATTGGCTCCTTAAGCTAGCCACATACTTCAATCCAGACACGTATCGAGTAGGAAGGAAACTACGGTCGATTGTCACCGTTTGAGGGGAGATTATCCAGATGAGAGAATTTTCATCTTCAGACACAGCACCACACATCCCAGGGCTAACTCTGATGTTCTGCTTTCTAAACACTATCTTATATTTTTGACTTTTCTTCTTTTTTTTTTTCTTCAAGTATTTATTTATTTTTGAGAGACAGAGACAGAGCGTGAGCAGGGGGGGGCAGAGAGAGAGAGAGAGGGAGGCACAGAATCCGAAGCAGCTCCAGGCTCCGAGCTGGCGGCACAGAGCCCGACGCGGGGCTCGAACTCACGAGCTGTGAGATCGGGACGTGAGCCAAAGTCGGACGCTCAACAAACCGAGCCACCCGGGCACCCTTGTGGTTTTTACTTCTATTCAAGAAAGTCCCTCTGGGCTTTGAGACTGTGAGCACCGTCCCGAGTGTGGACACTCACCTCTGGCTTAGGATGGAGGTTTGCATCAGGGAGTCTGTACAAAGTGGCGACCTCTCTGAAAAGCGCTAACAGTAAGTGGGCCGCCTGCTGAGGGCCGGGGTTCCTGGAGACCTGAAGAGGCGAGGACGCCGGTGAGGCTCGGTTACACACATCCCACTGAGGGCCAGAGTCCTGCTGACTCTGGCCTTAAACCGGGGGGGAGGCGGGACCCCCGCCTTTCCCGAGACCCGGACGCCCGCCGTCCCCCGCACCTCGAGGGCGGCCCCTGGCCAAGGACTCTGAGGCCGCCCGGCTCATAGACATTCCGCCATGCAGCTCAGTGAGTTTATCAGACTGCTTGGCACCCATGTAAGAGAGAGTACCGCTGTTCTCCTGTTGAGCACCCCACCATTCCTGGAAACCCCCACCACCGAGCAGAGCGAGGCTGTGTGTTTACTTCCTCGCTTCCCGGCACAGTCCCAGGGTACACGGGGCCTCCAAGAGGAAGCAAGACCAGAACCGCTCGAAGGTGACTCTAGGAACTCCCTGCCTCGTTAAGGACATGAGCACCCACGTCAGCACCGATGGGAGTCACGACCGTGCACAGGTAGGAGCGTCGTCCCCAGTTCTGCCCGCGCACCTCCCATCAGGGTGACCTCAGAGGAAGTGATGTTCAAGCAGGGTCTCACAGGAAGTAACATGTGCGCCGTCACATAGGGGCTGCTGATGGCCCCGACCGGGCGGGTCGGCGAGGTCCAGCAAATCTGTCCCCTAACTCGGTTACTAACGTCCTCCTGTTTCGGCCGGGCGTGCGGGGGCCGTGGACACATGACTCGGCTCTGGGGCGCCGTTTGGTACCGAGGGAAGCGGGGGGGGAGGGGCCGTCCTACCTTCACAGCAGCCACAATAGCCAGGGGCTTGCACTCGAGGACGGCTTTGCCCACCGCGTCACGAAGGGACTTGTATTTGTCACCGTGCACCAGGTACCGGTCCATCTGGCTTGAGTGATCCTCCTGCAAGGCCAGGGACACGGGTTCGTCACGGTGGGGACGTGGGGGGACACGGTCAGCAAAGAACCGCCCTGACAGGTAGAGGACCCAGGCGATGGTTAGAGGTCCGGCCCCAGGCAGGACGGTCCCCTGCTGTGCTGGGACAGGCCGCCTCCTCGCGCAGTGGAGGGGGGAGTGGGTGCAGGACTGGGGAGGAAGAGGCAGCTCTGACCGTGTCGCTGTGTTCTGTCCCCGCTGGGAGCACAGACAACAGTGCCGTAAGGATGCCCGTGCCAGGCTCCCAGCGGAGGTAACACGGAAAGCCAGCATGCCGAGTGCCACCTCTGTCACCCCGGGAACGGGCCCCGGAGCCAAAACTGCTACAGCTTTTTTACCTTCTTTCTCCTGCCTCCCGTCCCTGCCCGCGCGGGAGAGAAAGGACTTCTTCTGCTAGCTGATCACTATTCATTGGCAAGAGCAAAAGCCACACGTTCGTTCTTTTGCATTGCCCACGTCACGCCGGATCAAAGGCGAGGCCCAAATAAGCTTTTTGTGCAGGGAGGTGACAAACCAGAAGCGCACGCGCCCACCTGTCCCCCAGGGCAGGCCGCCTAAACGCCACCACGAGCCCGGGCAGGTTGGCTGCAGGGAGGCACCGGGGACCAGGCTGGACCGGCGGGGGTGGGGGGACGAGGCCAGGACGGGAGGCCGCGCCACTCACCTGCTGCTCTAAGACCGCCTGGGGAAACACCCACCGCGCCGGGTGGCCCGGCCTGGAGAGGCGCTGCACGAACTCGATCCCCCGCTCGCTGGCGAGTTTCCGCACCAGGTACACCCGGTACCAGTCGTTCGTGACCTGCCTGCAGAAGCGTTCCACCTGCTGAAGGTAGCGCTGCTTGTCCTCGGCCGCCTCTGCAGGGCACAACGAGACAGGCGTGAGGGCCCGGCGGCCCGCTGCCCTCACTGCTCACTCGTCCGGGACCCGGAGCCAGGCGCGAACAGCACGGGCCCTGGCGTCCGGAGCTCACAGTGTGATGACCGACCCAGAAGGAAGGGGACACAGGACAGACCGGGATCGCTCTGCTTCCCGAATTTCCACAGAACGAGGTCTCTAGGCCTGGGGAGGAGAGGGGTGCGGACGAAGACCTGCCTGAGCCCTCCCGGAGCCCGGAGAGGAAGTCAGAGGCCCTGTTGAGACAGAGGCGGATCCTGGCCATCTCCTGTAGGTGGTCTACCGAGGCCTCGCTGGCAGGCTCGGGGCCGCGCCGTGCCGAGTAGGTCTCCAGGAACACCCCGTCCTCTCTCAGGCATTTCTGGCTCTCGCTGGTAGAGAGGGCGCTAACCTTCTCGTACATGGAATCCTAGGGAACAGAGAACCGGAAAAAAAAAAAGGATGTTCTTTCTTTTTATGTTTATTTTTGAGAGAGAGAGAGAGAGAGAGAGAGA